TTTTTTTTCACATGAACATTGGGAATAAGTTGACTCTTGCGCAAGCTTGTTCAAATTGTTTCACCTTACAAAATCGACCTTAAATTGTTAAAACCGTAAGTGAAAGCTTTTTTTTTTTTGTGGGATGGAAGTGTATAAGATGTCGGGATAACAGAACATTACACTGGTAAGCGAACGTATTAAACTTCAATCGAGCTATTTTGTTATTTCTCTTGTGTAACTGATACCATATGAGATGAAGAAGTAATTCATAGTTATGATCATTCTCTACACATCTTACCTTTCTTCAATCTAATGCAGTTGCACATAACCTATTGTTCTGAGTTACCATGTTAAACTAGCCGGTTTTTCAATTAGCATTTGGATGTATGTATACTCGATAGGAATCATAGAGATCACATGTACAAGCTTGCTGGGGATGCTGAGCCATAGAGTCTCGTTTTCAGTTAATAATCGTGATAAAAACACAGAGAATAGTTTTCGAAAGAATAATTTTTGTATTGCATTGCTCGAGGTATAATCATTCTAGTAATATTTGCTACTAGAGTTAATTCGGTGTTTCTGATCAATTTTGCTACAACCGTTAAACGAATCAAACCGCTCATGGGCTCGACCTGAGTCGACTCGTGAAGGCTAAAGTTTGACTTGTCATTGAACGAGTGGAGCTCACAACACAACTTGTTTGTTAACGAACTGATTTGTCTAACGCTTGAAAAATAGAGATTTTTAAGTAAAATTCAAAACTAGTTCTGTAACTCAACTTGTTAAGACATGAGTTGTGTATTCCATATTGAAAAACAAGTGCTCGAGCTTGTTTATCGACTCGATGAGTTGGGTTGAGCTACTCGGCTAGAACCCAATTCAACTCTTCTCAAGCTTTAATTTTTGTTTATAAGTTTATTCCTTATGTACAAAAGTAAAATATATATTATAATTAATTAAATTTTTAAATGTTTAAGCAATGAAAAATCCACTTTAAAAGGGGCCAACTTAATATATCATACCTAGTGGGCCTGAATTACTGGGTTTTAAATTATTATATGGGCTCTGCTTTTATGTTTGGGGTAGGCCCGAGCAATTTACCCGGCCCATAATACATAGTTAAAATGTCCAAATACCATGAATTAGGGTTCCTGCCCTTCACTTACAGAGCTGCTGCTGCTTGTTCATTTAGCTGATCCTATCTTCTTCCCCAATCTCAAGGACCCAAGAGCTCAGTAGCCATGGTACAACGCTCTCTCTCTCTCTCTCTCTCTCTCTCTCTCTCTCTCTATCTCTCTCTAGATTGCACACTCGCACAGTTGACATTCTAACAGATTCATTTCAATTGAGAATGCCGTTTTAATCCACCTTTTTTTTTTTTTTTGATCAAAACAATGAAAAATCTGTTTCAATCGGCTAACTTTTGGTGTAATTTTTTTTTCAGATCATTCCAGAGAAGAACAGGAGAGAGATCTCCAAATACCTCTTTCAAGGTGAGAAAAAAGTTACCAGATTTTTTTTTTTTTTTATTTTTCACATTCACTATCTGTGTAAGCAAATAATGACTTCTGACATGAGCCGCCATTTGTTTTTGTATGTGTAACAGAGGGCGTGTGCTATGCGAAGAAGGATTACAACCTGCCCAAGCACCCGGAAATCGACGTGCCTAACCTCCAGGTGATCAAGCTCATGCAGAGCTTCAAATCGAAGGAGTATGTGCGTGAGACCTTCGCGTGGATGCACTATTACTGGTATCTGACTAATGACGGCATCGAGTTCCTCCGCACGTATCTCAACTTGCCGTCTGAAATTGTCCCGGCCACTCTGAAGAAGTCCGCCAAACCCCTCGGCCGGGCCATGGGCGGCCCACCTGGCGACCGCCCTCGGTAATGATTAATTTTTTTTTTAATGGGCTACTGCAGTTAAGATTATAATGTTTGGTGGGATATTAATTATTGAAATGTGGTTGTTCGCTACGATGCTTGAGTGTGGAGGGATTTCCTGTTGTTAATGGTGATTGTGAAGCTCAAATGTTTGTGTTTTGTTCAGTCATTATGATGAAAGAAAAGTATTATTTAACTATTATTTCTGGCTATGGTGTGGGTTCTTTTGTAGTTTGGGGGGTTTTTGTTTTGTAATAGGTGTTTGGGCTTTTTTATAGGGGTATTTTGTGCACTCATTTGATTTTGTGTATTTATATATGTATATCTGGTTTGTTGCAACAGTGGACCTCCAAGGTTCGATGGTGACAGGCCACGATTTGGCGATCGGGAAGGTTACCGTGGAGGGCCGAGAGGACCTCCCGGTGAATTTGGTGGTGACAAAGGTGGTGCTGGTGCACCTGCTGATTACCAACCGGCTTTCAGGGTAATTTCATTCCACTAGTGATTAGTTTCGAGCTATAACTTCATATATGTTGTTGTCAGTCTACACTCTACACTGGTATTTATGTATAATATGTCAGTAAATGTTTTTGACTGTTTGAGAAATGAGCATGATCAATTGTGTTTAAGGCATGTGTTCGACATTTGACATGCTAATATTGCTTTTATATTTTTCAACCTTTGATTTAGTATAATTTGACATGCTAATATTGCTTTTATATTTTTCAACCTTTGATTTAGTATAATTTGACATGGTTTATTATCATTTACTGCTGTAGATTGGTGGTTGACTTATTCTTTCTGTGTGCCTTTTATGTGTTGAGTTTACTTGATGAAGAGCACTAGGATTTGACAACTCTTTTAGAATTTACTTCCCCTTGTGTTGAGTTGAGCACAAAGTAATTAGTGCAGTTAAATACAATGACTTTGACGATTGTGCAGGGCTCTGGACGAGGTGGTTTTGGCCGTGGTTCTGGCAGCTTTGGTGGAGCACCTCCAAGTTAATTTTGTTTGTTCTTCATTTCTATGTACTTTCTTCTAAAGTTGCGAATGATGAACTTTTGTTGAACTTAAAACTTAGTATCTCACATTCAAATGTCGAATTGTACTCTGAATCTGCAATTTTGTTTATTTTGGGACCGGAAATTTCTCATTCCTTTTAAAGCTTAAGCCGTGTGTGCACTTGCCTGCGAAATGCATTCTTATCTTGGTCTTGTGAGTGATGCCGGTTTAACTTGTTAGACCCTGTCTAATAAGGGGTATCTATAGCTCTGATTTAGTTTTATGCACTTGTGTGTGCACTTGCCTGCAAAATGCATTCTTCCCTCTTTTTTCTTTCATTCAAGCATGGATGATCAGTTTTTAACTTGTATCATCAATGTATACCTTACGAAGTTCCGAGAGAAAATAGAGACAAATAAATGAACAATATACAACTTGGGGAAGGCTGCCAACGCTGCATCTTAAATTTTATCAAAGGTACACCAGAAAGACTCCCGACACCAGACATGACATATTGTCAACCTGCTAAAAGGAATCACAAGTCTTCTTATCAGCCTCACCCCTGTTCCTAATCTCCTCCATGATCCAGTTGTCTGGATTGATTTCCATAGTCTTCTTCCTTGATATGTAGGAACTCATGCTACTGCCCCTCAAGCTCGTTATGGCTCGACTCATTTTTCAAACGACTCGATCTTAAGCTCATATACCGTTTAGTTAATTTGGTTCGTTAAAGCTCGAAAATAATATTTAATCTTAAATAGTTTGACTTATTAAGATTCAAGTTCAGTTTGTTAAGCGGGCGAAGCCTGAGTTCGATTACAACTTGTTTAGTTAATAGCCAACTTAGCTCAACTCGTTAAAAGATCGAGCTCGAGCAACATGAGCTGGAGCTCTGCTTGGGTCGTTTAAAGTTCTACTCAA